GTCAAAAAATCAAAAATAAGCGAGATATTTTCAAAAATTGGGATTTTAGGCCATTTTTAGGCCATTTTTTCAAAATGGCGGCTTTAGCGGCGAAAAGATCTTTACACAAATGCGAAATTCGGATTCAGCGTCCAAAAATACATAGGAATCACTCATCAAAAAGTTTTCCGGGAAATTTTCCCCAAGAACTTCCCTATTGCCTGGACTAATTTGCACTGGTTACTAATCGTGGAAATCGGACGAAAGCAAGGTGGAAGAAACCAAGGGTGTCACTACCGCGGTGGATGACGTCATGAAACGAATTTTCCAAGCGCGATTTCTCGGTTAATATTGAACGTAGAAACTTGCAGTTTATACAGATCATTTTAATTTTAGCTTATATTTGCAGGAATCAAGGCGTTGGGTGCCGAAAGGGAATTTTTTGGTTGCGATGTTTTAGAATCTCCACTGCTAATTTACATTTAGAGAGGAAACTACTGGGCCATTTTTCTAAAAAAAATTGTTTTCAGCACTGTAAAGTTTTTAAAAAAATTCATTAAAAGTTTCAACGAATTTGATACATTTGCTGTGATTATAATGGATGAAACGTTAGCAAAGATTCTGAGACATCGCAACCAAAAAGGACCCTCAACTTTGCACTTAACGCTTCAATCAAGCATCAAAACACGATTCTGTGACCAACGAAACTGACCCATTCCTCTCCGGATAAAGAAAAAGCCCCGCCGCAAGCAGCACGGTTTTTTCCGTGGGGTTTTCGGCGATTAGGGAGAAGAGGTTTTTGATAATCAGCGTGTTTACCACGATATAAGTGTATTTTTCGATGATTTTTCACTTATGTTGCGTTTCATCCTTGAGATTAAGACGTATCTGTAATTTAAATTTAAGATAGTAATTTAAACTCAAGTTTTCGTGCAACCCCCTCCCCCCTTTCATTCCTACCCAATATTACAAAAAAAATCCATTATTTACTTCGACTCGTCGATTCATATGTCTCTAATATTTTTAGAAAACGGAGGTATATTTCCCATGGCATGCTTTGGAACGTCATCCCTCGAACCAAACCCTTCGCGAAAATGCAGAATTGCAACTAGCACATCATTTTTTTTCGCGGAAAACCGAACAGAGCACATGCCCGTATAGGAGGAATCGTAGTGCAGGAACCGTGAGTTGCTTTGTCTTGGTAAGAATCCAAACCGACCATCGCGAAAAACACGCTAGCATTAGAGGTGGGATTTTCACGGAAAGTATGGATTTATTTTGCATACTTAAATGCGTTCAAATAGACCCCATTTCACAGTGGTTGAGTTCTCTCGCACCGATTGTGTACATTGTAGTAAATTCTCATAGCAAACCGATACAGGATATCGTGGAATAAAGTGAATAGCGTTTCAAATAATGCCATTATATGAGCTACCGCCGTCCACAGAAGTAGCTTGAGTTGTACGGTCCGTGCGTGCACACAATGAGACCGGCAAATCAGAGCCTAAGGACCTAGACAGTCACTGTCACTACTGACTGACTGTCGCCGGTACCCGCAGACAGACCGCACCGCAGTAGTTGGCCAGGTATAAGAGAACACGGCTTGTGTACATAGTCCAAAACTGTTTTCAGGGTTGGAGTGTAGGATATACTGCAAAGTATATGATTCTGAGCTCCCTGAAGTTAAAAAAAAGAGAGAAAAAAGTCATACTTGAACTTTTAGAATTAAATATCTCTACCAACAAGAACAGCAACAAGTGACATCCGATTAATATCGTATGTACCTATGTATAGTAGAAATTTCAAAGACAGACTTGAAAGTTCGGACACCAAAAAATTCTCGAATGGGAATTTTGAGAAACTTTCTGGGAAACGAGAGCATTAAGTAAACTGCTTTGTTTCTATGAGCATGATTTGTGTTGTAAGTAATACTTATTAAAATATCTTGATGAGGGAGCAAATTCAGTTGATACACTCTTCCTATCCATCATTCATATTATATAAACCACCTGTTATCCATTATCCATTAGGTATTTATATCATATAAACCGTTTAAATACATCGAATATTCTATCTACAGCATCTAAGACTTCATGAAATCATACAAATTACACATCAGCACCCTTTGACCCGAGCAAAAAGCATGAGTTAATTATTAATTTAAAAATTCCAATAATTTTTTCATTCACGATTAATATCCCATGGTGTTAAATGAAATATCAGTATTCATACATAATTTTAGGAGCTTCTTGGGCCTTTGAGAATCCAAGGAGAGGGGGAGGGGGAAAGGTAAAACTATAGGTTAAAATACGCAAAACAACGGAAACTGAGTCAATTTTCACGGAAAAATGAATTCCGGTTTAGCCCGTTGATTTGTGTTATGACTCGAGGAGACAAGATATCGAGAATGTCACAACTAAGCACCAATAGAAGTTATCTTGCAATTGAGTCCCAAGGGTGCACCTTTGCTTCTAATTAACATGAACTTTTCTTCCACAAACCTCTCAACTAAAAAAGGCATGATGGCAAGACTCGTGTAAGGGCAAAACAAGTTGCTTGATTGTAAAGAGCTTCTGTTTACCAACGTGCGTGCAAAAACGCCTTCAAAAGGGTGAGTCTGCAATCCCACGACGGCCGTGTTCGAATAGTTATCGCTTGGGTTCGTAGGACATCATGCTCGAAGCCGTCATGATTCACTCCTTTTATGTGTCCACAGTCCACGTGTTTTGTGTGTGTTTGCAGTCCAACTTTTCTCTGAGGTCAGGCCAACAACAGACTGCTAAGTCGTGTTGACAAGGGATTATTCAGATTTAGAGTCCACATTTACGATGATATTCTGCGTACCTCGCGTAAGGAAGTACTTCATTGTCTCCAAAACAAAAAAGCGTAACTAGGATATATGTCTCAATAGCTGCAATATTTCCATTCACAACTTGTGCTTTCACTGGGAGACTGGGGGATGTTTCATTCTAGTTATAGCTGATTTTTCCTCTAGTCATACATTAAAATCAACTCAATTTGGGGCAGCAATTGCACTGTCATATTAATGTAAAATTTGAATTTTCAGAAGCAATTTTGCAACTTGAGAATGGAGTTATGGAGGTTAAGCTCCTCCGTCTGGGGGACGAGGAGTTAGGGACCCAAAAAAATTGGCCTCAAGCACACATATGACGGCGGGTATGACTAGCCTGCGCTGATTTATAGTCCATGGCTTATTCTCACGTGGTGGTTCCCTAGACGTTGGTTGAAAGGCAGGAAAAGCACATGGGTAGCGCAAGCTCCTAACGCGAACCGGCAAGCCGCAATGAGTCAGGGGAAAAGAGTCTTGAAAAAGAGATAGGATGAGACGGCGAGGTGGACGCGAAAGAGAGAAGGTATTAGTTTCAAGTATAGAGAGGGAGCGAGAGAGAAACTGAGCGCGAGTAAGAGAGGGCAGTCTGAGATTAGTGGAAGGGAATTTAGTGATCAGTCATTACGGCCGCCAGAGCAGTCAGTCTTCAGTCTGTGATGGAACTCCGTCCGTGAGACTTCGTATATCTATCGTATATTCCGTTGCCGGAGAGGAAAATTTCTCGTCGCGTGTCGAGAGTCGGCTACTCCGCGCTTGATGCGTGATTGAATTATCTTGAAAAACTCAGCGTGACATTTAAAGAGGGCGTTTTAAAAATGTGGCTCGCGACAATACTATTTTTACGTTCATTCAGTGATGTGTGTCGGTGTGTATCCCAGTGAATCTGGTTTCAGCGGTCGCCCAACGCATTCAGTGAGAATTATGACTCGGATGCAATTTCGGTCACTGTCCTTTCCCATAAGTTCCGCCCCTTCGTCCAGTTACCCCTTTTTCCCCGCTTTTTGCTCCCTTTAAACGTCGACATGTTTCTCGCGGAAAAAACGAATTTCTCTCCGTCGTCTGTTCTTCAACTGGTTTTTGCATTTCTTTGTTGTGCGATCCCTTTGATTTTCCTCTACATATTTCGTGGCAGTACATCAAAAAATGGAAAAACCTCTAAAAGTAAGTGTTAAGTAGTGAACAGTCTATTTTTCTTTTGCTAAGTTGTAATGTTTTGTATACGAATGTGAGACTGACATACTTACCGTTAGGATCAAGTCATTGTGACACCACATGCCTTTTTACGCATGCCACTCCCATCAGCAAGACTTCTTTGAGGTTATGTTAGTATAGGGACTTCAGGGGCGTTCACCAATACTTAATAACTTAATGAATAATTTGTATTCGTATTGCGTTTCACTGCTAAAACTGAATTCTGATTATCTCAAAAAGTTCTAATTTTTACGTAATTATGTAGTCGGTGGCATGATCTGGGATTGGCTCGAAGTAGACTTTTGCTTCCTCTGAAACTTGCTGCCCTACAAAGATAAATGTTCAGCGCTGTTTCTTTTCTTTTTTCTTTTTTTTAATTGCGGATGGTTTCCAATGATGTGAACGTGGTGAAAGGGTTTTAAAAATAAAACACGCACATTTCTTAGGTGTTTTGACAACTCTGGATTTTTTTGTTGCACTATACAATAAAACTCTTCCATTTTCCGTAAGAGGGTAGAGGGGTACTTCAACTTCATCAATGGGGGGGGGTGGGGGTCATAAGAAACACTCGATTAAGGGGGTCTGCCTGTGTCTGCGGAACTCTCTCAGCTCCTAATAAGGAACGTTCGGAGAATTCTGCAAGCTTTACAGGGATGGGTGCGGGGGGCCTTCCCCGAAAAACGTTCAAAAATTGAGCCGTCTTTTTTAGTAGCAATTTTGAGACACTCTCAGATGACATCATGTGACATGCTTTAAATGGGTATCTCCTACTTACACCAAATTTTTTCAACATTAAAAGGGGGATAAGTTTTAGACGCGGGTTCATTGAAAATGTATTTTAAGCGAAGGAACAAAATCCTTGTTAAGTAGGACCCTTTTTTCTTTTGAACGCCCATAGGTTATCATCCACAAGTTCATTTCTAGTTTCAAGTATCAATTAGTGTCGCCTCTCGGACTGGGAATTAGTACCGCATGCTGAAGTAAATCTAGGCGAGTCATTCGCCGAATAGGATCGGAGGATAATCACGAGGGAAATTATTTGAAAAGTTTTAAGTAAACGCTACTAGGCATGAATCGTGGCTGCAGGTATGAGAAAATGTGCCTGTTTTTTGATAGACCCAACCATGCCGGCGCGGGGCGCCTGGTGTACGCAGCGGTGGTTTTAGGTCATGAATTGATTCAGACCCGGCTACAGAACAGTGGCGAGGCGTGAATGATCAATTATCGATTTTTCCCGATTTGCAGCTATGGTAAAATATCGATTAATACGGAGTTTGTCGCGGACACCCTTTTTATCGATCCTTTTCCATAAGTGTGAATCGCAGATCGATCGATGTATCGCAAAGCACGCCACGCCACTGCTACCGAAAGGTGTCGATCAAACGACTTACACCGATTCATTTCCATCGGTGAGGGTGGAGTGGGTTATGTTACTCTTCGAAACCAGTTCGATAAATCGAAGTGACACCTGTTTCAATGTAGCATGCCTGTATGACGTCACGCCTCAGTCATTACACAGAGAGCTATGTGACTGAATAGACGCCGGCCGGTCGCGGCCGTCGCACCGCACCGTGACGAGAGACAAAGAGGCGCCAAAAACGACCTTCTGGGAACTCACTACTATTTACGACTTTTTCATCTGAAACGGTGTCACTAGGGAATCAGGGGGCGAATGGGACGATTATCTTCAATTGATAGGATGGAAGGGGAGGGTTAACAGAATTCTTTACTGCGGCGAAAATGATGAAGCGCTCCCTTTGAGGTCGCAAATCCGGCATTATCAGTACTATATTTTTTTGAGAAGGGGAAAAAATAATCACTCGTTTATCACCAAAAAATATTGTTTAGTTTTACACTCTCGTCTTCTTGTTGTTTGCTGATTTGTCCCTATACATCATACCTAAAAGTCAAATTGCGTGATAATTACCTACTAAATCTCACATTGAATTATATATAGGTACAATTCGTATAGTCTCTGTCTCCCCGGAGACCCTGGCAATCCACATCGCTAAATGCCCCCTCCCATCTTTTTCGAGCTGTTCCTGGATCCGCCACTGCGTGAACATATTACTTGTCAATACCTAATATTCAGCGTTAAAATCTGGTGGATATGCGTTGAAATTTTATCAGCAACAAGAGCCACTACTTACAAGGGTTTCGTCGCACTTTTTTCAAAATTGCTGACATTTTCGAAACGCATGAATGTGACATTTAGGAGCGGGTCATCATCGATCTTATAGACGTAGCACGCGTCGTGGAATAATTTCGAATCATTATCCCAATAATTAATGTCTCACTAATTAGGTGCCTGGGTATTGCGGCGAAATAACTTCTCAATAATTTCGGCCGCTTGGCCGAGGATGGGGTTAATTCCGGGAGCCGAAGTATGAAGTAAGCTGATGAGTGATGGTGTCGTCAGAACCCGCGGATATCCCCTCTGGTGTCAGTGGTGAATATCGACATTTCATAGGTACGTAACATGCGTTGACAAACGTTCTCTTGTCAGGTCGGGATCAAAGTTTATACACTATTTATCACTATATCTCGCGGCAAACCTGCGTTGCCGGACAACTTCGAAATTAGAGTTGTGAAAGACAGAGAGGATACTCCACAGGCATATCATCAAATGTGGACGTACATTGAAAAATCATAGTATTTGAATTTCGACGGTAACACTGTCTTGATTGCGGTGTATCAAAAGTTTTCCCTGCATTAAATCCTCCGACAATACATTATCAAAAGTGAAAAGAAAAATTCCACAGAATTTTGCGTAATAAGAACAATTGGGTCTCTAACGATTTATTAATAATTATAATCAAGTAGTCTCTGAAAAGACAAATATAGGAATGTTCCTACCTATAATGAAACATGTGAACAGAAGACTAATATTTAGCTCCAGCCAAAGACACTGTTAAATGTAAAATTCCATAGCTCTGCGGGGAGCACCTTGTCTCATTAACCTGTTGATTCAAACTTTTGCTTATTCATGATGAAGCACACATTGGACGAATATTTTCTCTGTACGGAACAAAGTATGTCCATTCTCACTTTTTTTTTTTTTACCAGAAACGACTAGCGCGCACAACTTTGGCTTTGCATGCAGTTGAAGTGCAGAAACCTCTGCTAAACTCATGGAGTTCATGCGAGAAACATGTGGGACTAATAAATGTTGCATGTCAATCGATTTTTTACCCCTAAAATTTGGTTCAAATGTTCTCGAAGGACAGTAAAAACGGCAGCCAGTTTTTCCAAAGAATCGATTGTATCGCTTATATCGATCGTAAAAATACCAACTTTGTCACTCGGTTTGTGGCTTCTTAGATATTTTGTCACATTTTACTTTTTGTAGCATTTGCAAATAACGTTGCAATTGTCACTGGTCTTGCACAGCAACGTTCATTGTTATACAATCATGCGTAGGTAGGGGAATATTATTGTCTCGCAGTACCTATATCATAGCTTTACCATCACGGTTGTATCATTCTGACGTCCGCAGATCCAGGAAGATGAAGAATGACATAACTTATAAGGTTTTGAATTTGTTTCAACTTTAATCTATTCCTTTTACTGAAAAACCTGATTCGCCTGTAGATTTTTTATTTCTAGTAAAAGTTGCAACTGACGTGATATAATTTTATTGGGTGGAAGTAACAGTACCTATATTTGAGATATCTCGGTATGAAGTTTTATAATGATTTTTTTTTTTACTTTAAAAAAGTCATGCAAGGTCCAACGTATAGAGAATTGAATTCATTTCCTGGAGACTGAGATTATTAACTCTACACCCAAGTCCGAATATTTAATGATCTCATCTTATATCCATTGTTTAGATTTTAAAAAAAAGAAAAAAAGGAAGAAATAACCACTTATTTTAACATATTGTGACTTTTGATGATGTTTTTTCACTCACATCTTATTCCATTCTCTGAAAACTAAATCAATGACTCTTTTAAAAACTGATTTTGAATTTTTATGGTCGCATTAGTTTCTCGGAGTGATGATTATCAGAAATAGTATGATGCTTAACAAGGGGGAAATAATCAATAAGGAAACGATTGAATTTTGGAACTGCGCATTGGCTGACGAGCGTTTTCCTTCTTTTTCACTAGGTGCCAGTGCGCAATTCAGAACCAATAAGAAACAATTAGAGGGAAATGGGCTGTATACTTTCTTATACTGTATCCATGTGTTCTAGGTAAATGACAACCTGCTGGTTTGAGTCAAATTCAGTAACTTTGAAATAATTACTTGATGGTAAAAGTAACCCAAAAATTCTCTGCCAGTAAGGTCTGAAAACGCCGATATATCTTCTGCGCTGCATACATAAAACACTTTCTTGTCCAAAAACCTATGCCACACGCATCAAAATTCGAAATTCCCTCCCTCATAACATCCACCCTTTATGTTCAGATAATCCAATAGTAGTAACAGAAATTTTAAAACTCTTCAAGAAATTAAATTTAAAAATTTAAAATTGCCTAGTCCCCGACGTAAATAGCCTAGATGCTGATCGTCGTTAACTAAAACTAACTAACTAACTCTTTGCCTCTGTGACAGACGAGTTTCAGAGAAAATACATATACACATATTAGCTCACTCAACTCAAGTTCGTTTCACGTTGGGGCTGATTGGCGGAGTGCTGATTTTGCTCAAAACGATTGACCCCTGAACTCGCTGATTACCGATGCGTATGAACGTATCCTCCCGGGAGAATCGAAGCGTGACGTCTATCGCGATTCGTCTCCTCCCGCCGCCGTAGCCTTGCTCCAAGATTAGAGAAAATCTCACTCGTAATCGTAATAGTTCATTTCCAGATGCCTCGTTTTTATGTATTATGCAACCCGATAATCAGGCGCCGTGCCGTGTGTCCGAAGAAATACTGAGCTACTTCCTAATTGATATCACATACGGGAGCCACGATCAGCCGATTTTCGGGGACAAGAAGACGGTATGGCGCACGGTGGATTGAG